TGGGTTGGTGGTTGGTGGTATGGAGCTGAGTGAGGTTGATGGGGCCAACAGGATGGGTGCGTCTTCTTTTCCCTCTTGACTTTGTAGAAACACGAACAATTTGTGGCTAACATGAGATGACAGGCCCTACCTTTGGTGCCATGGTCCTCTCTGGTCTCAAGGCTGCCGAGGAGACCCTCAGAGTCTTTGACCAGCGCAAGGCCCAGAACGATGCCGAGCTCTAAGATGCTCACATGACGACGACCTTGAGCAGACAAACATGGACATGCTCGGTGGGAACACATATACACACGGAAGGCTGAAGGGGAGGTGCCACGTTCCTTGAGATTTAGTTTTGGCTTTGTGACCTACCTACCTACCTACCTTGGTCGCCCACAGACAGATTGTGTGTGCTACACGTACATGAAATGGGTATCACTTTATGATCAGTTGCTTCATGTTGTCCCCAATGCAAGCAGTGATATCAACGTTTCAGAGCCACCAGATGATTTGCCACCCGAGATTCTACCTTGCTCATCGAATTTTTGACGAGAAGAAATATTATTACAGCTTGCTAAACAGCAACGTCCATCCACCCTAGATCACCACCACACACCATCAAAACAAAGTGCAAATATTACATGACCATGACCGCCCCCAACAGCCCAGCAAGCACACCCGTAACAGCACTGTGGCCCCTCCTTCCAACCCCAGCAGCAGTAACCACAGAGCTGGTCGACGAGGGTTTGTACGGGGCATAATCGCTCGCTGTCGCCCCATCAACAGGAACATCCGGCAGCGGGGGAGGACCGTAACCACCAGCAGCGACAGAGCTGGCGGTGGCCACCGGGCGAGGGACTGATGCCGGGGGTGGCGGACCGTAACCCTCTCCACCACCACCACCACCACCACCACCGATAGCAGAAGAACCGGTAGCAGCTGGGTCAGACACCACACTCCCCACCGTCACCACCTCGGTAGCAGTCTCGACAGCAGCCGTCTCCGTCACCGTCGAACTAGCATGAGGCAAGCAGCCGTGACACTCCCCCCCAGGAGTATGCCCCGGCACGGTCCCCACCCACGTAGTCACAGTACAAGTGCTACACATCTGCGCCGTGACCGTGACCGTAGTCTTTGGGTTCGCCGGGCAGGACGTCACTGTCACGGTGAAGTTGTCATCTGAAGCGGAGGGTGTGCCGAAGATGCAGGGGTAGCATGGTTGGGAGGGGGTTGGCGTGGCGCAGATGGGGCGGGTGAGGGTGGAGAGGTGTTCTGTTTTTGTTTCTGTCACTGTGGTTGGGTTAGTATGATGGTGGGAAAAAAAATGAAAAAAAAGGGGGGGAGGGAAGGGGAAGGGGAGGGTACTGTTGAGCCGGAGGGCAGATTTCGACTATTTCGATGATGTGGATTATTTCTATTCCGATCCAGGTGTCGCATTGTGATGTTGGGGAGGGGGACGGGGAGGGGGAGAGGGAGTCGCAGCCTGATGTGGGAAGAGGTATGTTTGACCCGGATAGGCTGCCTGAGTTGGATGTTGTTTGTGTGCTGGTGGTGGTGCCTCCTTGGTTGGAGGAGGTGGCGGAGGTGTCTCCGGGAGAATATGAGGTTTCTGAGCTGGAACCAGAGGGTTGGTTTGATGATGGGGCTGAGGCTGTTCCAGAGGTGGAAACGCTGCTGGACTGGGTGCTGGGTGTGGCGGATAGTGTTGATGTCGTGATTGAACCTGTTAGACTGGGGGGGTTTGATGCAGTGGAGGAGCTTGGTGAACCGGAAGAGCTTGGTGAACCCGGGGTGCCAGAGCCAGAGGCACCGCTTGTAGCCGAGTCAGATGAGGCAGGACCACCAGAGCCAGAAGTTCCGGGAGACCCAGTTGCCGACCCGGTTGCCGACCCAGTGCCGCCAGTCGAGCTCCCACTCAAAGGATCGGAAGCACCCGTCTCTGAAGACACCGCAGACGTCCCGCTTGCGGTCCCCATACCACCCCCTCCCGTGGCGGTGTTTGTCAGGCTGCCACTTATGTAGCTCGTACTCCCCAACCCTCTGTTCGTTGAGCTCGAAGAATCAGGAGCTCCGGGCGCTGTCACGGAGCTTTCACCAACCGTCATGGTCTTGGTAGATCCTGTCTCGCTGATACCCGGTCCATTGCCAGAATCTCCTCCGCCCGAGGACGAACCAGAAGGATACACCGTTACTGTTGATCGAGACGGGCCTGAGGCACTTTCAGATGCCGAACTGGCACTTGGTCCGTTTCCAGCACCTCCGCCACCTGAAGGCTGACCAGAAGGATAGACGGTAACCGTTGATCGAGATGAGCTTAAAGCAGTTGTTGGTGCTGGACTAACCCCCGGGCTATCACCATCCCCAGCGCCAGAACTCTGACCAGAGGGATAAACAGTAACCGTCGACTGTGACTTTCCCGACGCCGTCCCAGATACATCCCCACCCGAAGACGAACTTCCCGGTGCGGAGCTAAGCCCCGGTGTAGAGCTGACCCCCGGTGCAGAGCTAGCCCCCGGCCCATTCCCATCTCCCCCGCCAGAAGTCTGACCACTTGGGTACACAGTCACGGTTGGCTTCCCCGAGCCAGACATTGTTCCGGAACCAGTCATGGATGAATCCAATCCCAGTGATGAAGAACCTCCCATAGTCCCCGTCTCAGACCCACTTGCACCACCGGACTCCGACTCCCCAGAAGGCCTCACAGTCAATGTAACCTGCGGTTCGCTCCCCGTCGTCGTCGTCGTCGTCGTCAAAGACCAACTCGGCTCATCAGTCCCCGGCGGATAAGACGTCGTGTCCGAAAGCGTCGGAATCTGCCCATCAGCAGGCACTCCTGGCACTTCGGCCGTAGCCGTGACCGTCACTGGGGGGGTATCAGAGCCTGAAGCTGAGGAGGAGACTTGCCCCCCACTGTCCGGACCGCCGGCTGTTACTGTTACTGTTGGGTAAGAGACAGATGATGTACCTCCCATCGACCCTGTTGGTGTTTCCGAGGGAGGCAAAACCGTCACCGTCCCAGGTTCAGATTCAGTGGCATTATTCGAGGCGGTGACGACAACTGTCTCTGGGGAGCCACTGGAGTCATCAGAGTTGCTCGGTGAGCTGGATGGGGCGGGTGTTGTCGAGGTGGTAAATGACGGCGACCCTGAGCCGGGATCGTTAGAGGCGGTGATGATGACTGTGCCCGGCTCCGCGTCCGTGGCGACATCCGAGCTTGGTGATGGGGGCCAGGAGGCGGTAACGATGACGGTTGGCGTATCGGGGTCGCTCCTGGTGGTGTTGGATGATGCAGTGCTTGGAGTTGGGGCTTGGCTTGAGGAAGAAACCCATGGGGGTCTAGAAGGCCAGACTGTGATGGTCACGGGTGGTTTTCTGGTTTTGGTTTGCGGGGAGGAGGTGTTGGTGTAGAGCATGCTGGTGGGGAGGCTGGTGTTGGTGGGTGAACCGGTGCTCAGGGCAATGGAGCTACCATGTTTTGGTTAGCTAGTAGCCCAAGCAAAAGATGAAATACGTACCTGGTGTTGTGGAAGGTGGTGCTGCTGCTCGATATCGACGTCGATGAACTAGACGTGGTGTTTTTGCGACACAAACCAGGCGATATCATCCCAAACAGGCATTTGCAAGATGACGAGCAGAGGCTATCTGGCATCCCGTTGACGGCCTTGCCATAATCACACTCCTCGTTGTACTCTGCCTCGGTGACATTGTTGCCGCAGCCAAGTGGTGTTGCGCCGCGAGCAATGATGTACGGTGTTCCATGCGTGCCGTCTGCAAAGGTCCGCTGCCCCAGGCCAGTCGTGTTGAGCGCGATCGCCAAGGGCTCAAAGGCGCCATTCCCTTCGGTAGGGTACTCTGCAAACACCTCGTGAGCACTGCAGTTCCAGTTGCTCGCCATCTCATCGGTAAGGGACGTCATCGAATCGTCCGTGGCGACGATGTGCACCTTGTTCAGACATGTCAAGTTGCCCCGGACTTTAAAGACGCCTATCTCCGACAGAGCCTCGATGGTGGTCGGAGCTGCGTTGCTCTGGTAGTAGCATGACAGCGAAAAGTACATGCCGGTGCCATTCTTGCCCGTGGAAGCAAGGCTGATGGAATCCCGGATCATAGCCGACGCACCGGCGAGCTTGTACCACTTGGAATGGTAAGAGGGGTCCGTCCCGATGAGCACCATGTTGCCCGTGACGGCAGGCGACCAGACCTTCTTGGTATTGTCCAGGAACTTGATCGTGTCCAGGCTCGTGTTGCAAAGGCAGTCCGGGACAATAATAGACTTGTACTTGGCGAAGTCGGCCGTGGTCATCTTGTTCCATTCGTCTTCAGACTTGCAGGCATACGCTTTCGGACTTGTCAGTTACGGTCTCGTCCAGCCGGAATAGCAACCACGTACGCGTTAGACCGAGCTTCTTTGCCTCGTCGTACTCGGTATATTTCAGCCCGTACATGTACGGGAAAAGAACGTTTCCCTCGGCCATCACAAGGACTGCCAAGCTGGCCAGCGCCAACAAAAGACTGTGAATGGTGCGCATGGTGGCTTCAAGGGGGTTGGTTCAGGGGTAATGAGTGACAAGATCGGGGTATCCCTTGAAGGATGCGCCGTTAAACGACTGACTGAAAGGATGGACTGCGATAAGAATAAAATGAGAGTACTGAAAAAAACAAATCCAACAGTCCAGTCAAGCCCTGGAGTGGGCAACAGGTCATATTTCAACCCCATCGTCACGACACAAATGGCTAAGATTAGACAGAGTCAAGGTAACCATTATAACTCGGGGCTTCTCGGCCAAACGAGAGGGTATCCAGACAATCAGAGCATTCTCCCCGAGACGGTCTCAAGTCCCAGGGAAAGGGTCATGTGTGTTTGTTGCCGGGAGAGAAAGAGAGAGAGAGAGTAGGTTAGGTAGCAAGCGACCTGATGGTGTCCTTGTAGGACAGCCGTGTGTCGGACATTACTCTGGACCCCTTTCCAGTAAACAAAACAAAGCCAGGTAGGCCTGGCAATATCAGAGACTGCTTGGTAAAGCTGATCGGCATTGGATCCCTCTGCCTGCAGACGCAGGCACGGGTTGGCTGAGAGGGAGCTTGTTGTTTGCTGGGGAATCCCAGTCTCCAAGTGCCGGGTTCGAGGCTAAGGGTAAGGGGTGACGATGGGATGGCAGGTCGAGCTGAAGCTGCAAGCAATGAGTGAGACATGCTAATGCGGCCGTGACACTAGCTGCACCCGAAACAGCAGGGCACTTGAGGCGTCTGGGGGGGCGATCCTGTCGAAGAAGGGGGATCTCGCATCGCATCACATCGGATCGCGTCGAGCGTCGCCGCGACGACTGGAGAGAGAGTCGCACACAGATCTGAGACTGCAATTCATCGCTTGCTCCTGCTCGAACCGAGCTAGCGGGTGGCAACGAGCACGAGGATCAGGATTATGAGACGACTGTGTAAGCTGGAGGGATGGGTATCATGAGGTAGTTATGCCGAGGTGTCGAGAGGTGTGTATAAACGTATAAGAATGGCGGATACCTATCTTCGATAGAGCCAAGAGGTGGTGAGGCGGTTGTGCAGAATCGCGGTGAGGTAACTAACGTGTAACGTCGCAGCAACAGCAAGCGTGCCTATGCAAGATGATTCCAGAAGTTCCCTTGCACAGCATTAGTCGGTGTCCTCCTGCAGTAAGTAATTTGTAAGTGACGTTGTCGATGATAGCCTGCCTAGGCGGGCGATGGATGATGAATAATTGATGTGCTTGGGGAGGTTCGGAAGGGTCGGCGAATGGGCCGCCGATGGATGGGAAAACGACAGCCCTCTGCGGTGTGGCTGCGGCTGTGACCTGCAACTCTAAGTGGCTGCTGGGGACCTTGCAGGCGTTCCCAACTGGCCGGGAGGGATCTCTGACCGAGGTCGTGATCGGCCAGCCTCAGCCAATCATAGCCTTATATCGTCAATGGTCCCTCGTGTGCTCAGGTTGCAACGACCTGCAATTCGTGTTGGGCCAAGCGGAGCTTTTGAGCACTTGACGTGCTTCCCGCTGCTGTCACCTTGAACCTCACCTCATCCTATCTTTCGACCTCCTCCTCGGCCCTATACCGTCGCCTCAGCCTTGATGTTCCTGCCAAGCCTCCCGTTCCCATTCACCTCAGACTACCATCACCGCTCACTCACGGATAGCCCTCTAGGGATATGCAGTCATATCGACCAGCTGTGCCCTGCCACGGCGGTGGCGGCAAACATCGATAATGACACCTCGCACCTCACAGAAGCCCGTACCCTCCCTCCGTGTCGTCAACGGTGACCCCCATGCCGCACTTTTTGAGGCTTCGGCGACTCAGCTTCGTTCGTGTAGAACCCGCGTCACTTTCACAAGACGCCCGCTCCATCAAATTTCCCCGTCTTCCCACACACAAGGCCGATCGTCGTGATCTCCCCCAGCACTTCTGACAGCGCAACCTGTCCAATAGCTATGTCCGGGCTGACCAGACCTTGGTGATGGGATGGGCCTGTCGAGACATCGATAGGCTTCCAAGACCGCCACCGGATCGGTCCCCCGCTGTCATCCCGCGTCCGCCCAGCTCGACAAACCCAGGTTCATCCGTCACCGACGTCGATGAGCCTCCGAGGATTCCAAGAACTCTGCATCATGGGGTGTTGGTATTTGCAATGCTCAGGGTGGAAAACTGGGTAACCGGCACCTGGGCGGGACGGTCCGGTACCTGGGCGTTGCTACTCTGAGAATGGATATAAAGGGCAGCTCAGTCAGCAGTGTGATGGGATTTGTCTCTGCAGCCTATGTCTTCAGAATATCCCGGTATCGATATCCCTCCCATATCTGTCTATTCTCTATCAAAATGGGCCAGCAAAACTCCCGCCCTGTCTTTGACAGCAAACTGATCAAAAGCCATGTCGAACACGCCCTGATCCAACAGGATGGGCGCCATAACGACATCCCCACAGTACGCTTTGCCTCCTCCATCGTTCCCATGACCATCTAGACTGACTCGGCCCCCCAAGGTCCTCGCCACCCTCCTCTTCCTTGATGCCTCCCCGGAGATGCTCAAACACGCCTACCGCCGCCGCAAAGACAGCCTCCACACCTGGACCCCATCCCCGGGCAGCAGTAAGCCACTGCCCCCTTCTCCCTCTCTCTCACCACCTAGGCACTTGGGGTACTAACAAGCTCACAGTCACCGACGAAGCAACCAAAACCGCCCTCCTAGGCGACAAACGCTTCCAGCGCGCCTTCATGACCTACTTCTCCCTCCTCAACAACCAATACAACTCCAACTCGACCGCCCTAGCCCTCTCCCAGCTCTTCTCGGGCCCCATACCCCTCGTCTACGGCCTCTTCTCCTCCCTCGGCCTCCCCCTCACCTTTCTGTCGGATGGGATAGAGCTCCGCTCCGCAATCCTGGTAGCCCAATCCCTCACCCTCTCAGCCGTAGACTGGCAGCCCGGCATCTATGACCTCCTAACAAGCAGCCAGCTCGCCCGGCCGGCATCAGAACTCCTCGGACCAGAGGAGCTACTAAGAAGGGTAGCCTACGACGGGCGGTTCAGCGGCGTGATGAAGGGGGGAGCGGGCTATCACAACATCAACCAGATCCTGTCCAACCCGTCGGCAAGGGCGGCGGTGGTGGAGTACGTCCAGCAGCTGGACTGTCGGAATTTATCGCTGCTTCTTCCCCAGCTGGCTTCGCTTTCTGTTTTGCTGCTCACGGCCACGCACAAGCCGGGAAAAGCCCG